ATATATATATGCATTGTGCATATAGGGATTAATATAATAAAATGTTAATTAAAATATTAAATTGTATTCTTAGTGTTTATAATTATTTGAATATTTTATTACTAGTTATTCAAAAATTATAAAAATATTATTCCATATTACATATCTTAATTTTAAAAATTTTGTGAAAAAAATAATTAATATATTTTTATTAAAAAGTATAAGTATAACAATTTTTTACTGAAAATATTGAAAAAAACAAACTTATACTTTCATTCTTTTTAAATTTTAGAGATACTATAGTTTTTACATTGAAAATAAATACATAATTTGCAAACAAAAATAATTTATTATTTAGTTGTGGTTTGAAATTAATTTATAATAAAATATTGATTAATTTTGTTTAAATATTATTTTAATATACTCATTTCGTCCCATAACTATGTATTTATTTATATTTTGCACAGAGTTTTAGAAATATTAGTATTATATTAGAATATAGTAGGAATAAAATAGAAATGAATAAATTGACCTTATTAGTATTGTGCGATATAAAGGTAATGACATTTGTGTAATATATTGTAAGTTATAAAGATATTTGTAATGTTAGATAGATAGTATAATTACTAAAAAAAATAGATATTTTGTTATGGACAGATTAAAAGACTAAAATGAAAAAAATAGATACTTTGTTATAGTACTGTGAAAGTAGTATTTTTGTATGTTCTACATCTTATGTCACTTTTTTTCCTTTTTTGTTTTTTGAAAAATGATTACACATCTTAATTTTATTTTAAATTTTTTAATTTATAATTTTTTATTTTAGTTACACTGATTAGTTATTTTAATTTTAATTTATAATTATTTATATTATAAGATAATTATTTTTATTAATACATTCATAATTGATTACTAATTATATTTATCTTAAATTCTCGTGTCTATAGTAACTCGGATATGATAAATGAAATGGAGAGAGCATATTATTATTGAAATTTATGTGATTTGTTAATTTATTATTTTATATTATTTAAATATTTTTTAAACCCATTATATGTTGTTTTTATACTATCAATATATTCTCCTTAAATTTGTCTGTATTTTGAATATAATATATATTTTTTAATTGTACAAGTACATAATATTAAGTTAAAATATACTATAAAATACTGAATATTGTTTTCATTGTACTATGTATCCCAGGAGATTCTTAATATTGAAGAACCCGCCAATCATAAAATATTAAAAACAGAAATTAGGTAGGATTTAATGCAGAAGCCTTTCCACGATTCCCTCTTTTCTTGGAGGACAGAATATATATTTTAAATTAATATAAATTATATCAAATGTCATAAATATAATTAATTTATTCTATTTATAAAATTATATTCAAATATATTTAATTAAATAAAATAATTATTATGCAATATGGTTTAATTTAAAATATTATATGTATATTAATTATATACTTTATATATAATGTAATATTTCAATAAATTTAATTTGTAAATTTATACCATCTATGTCCGGATTTAAAGGTTTCATTTATTTTTTTCAGGTTGATCTTTAAATATTAATTATTATATCAAAACATATTACAAATTAATTTTTTTTTTTTGTAAAAGTACTTCAATCAGTGTCTTATAATATTAATAGAAAAATATTTGTTCAAAAAATTATTCAAATGCATGAATATTTTTAATATTAATTACAATAATGTAAAATATAAATACGATTTTTAGAGGCGGACGGAGGGAGTATATTTTTTTAATAAAATAGTAAAATTTGTATAAACTCAATTATTATATAAATAAATATATTATGTAAAATGATAAATTTATTGGAGTAAAAAATTATAAAATATAATTATTTGTTTATTGGACGTGAATTTTAGTATTTTATAAGTAATAGTATAATAAAAAAGATAACAATGCGATATAAATATTTACCTTTTTTTTAATGACATTGTTAATATTTTGTAAAGTATTGAAGTATTTTTTTTATTATTATTATTAGAATGAAAAATATTTTTACTAAAAGAATAAAACAAATACGATAGAATTGGACATAGAAATGACAAAATAATTACATTCACGATGGGTGGAAGAAATATTTTTTTTTTTTTGGTGGAAGAAATATTTTTTTTTTTTTTTGTTTCCCCTCCAATTTGAGAAAATTTAGAGAAGAGAAATTTTATTAACAATCTTTTATGTAACTATTTGATATACTCTCTTTTATATATATATATATATATATATATATGATGTGGGAACTCTGCAACAGCTTCCCAAAAGTTTGCACCGGGTAAATCCCTAACTATTTGTTATACTCTTATATTTTACTTAGGGTGTGTCTGTTTGGGGGATTTTCTCCCAAATATATTATTCATCAATTTTTTTTTTTTTTAAAAAAATATCAAATCAAACACCTAGTTTTTATTTTTTATATTATACTAAAAATTATTTTTACATTCAAAACATCATATTAATACCTATTTATATCACATTATATGAAATTATTCAAATTTAAAATTTTTGGCATTCAAATTCCAAACAAACACACCCTTATATATCCTCTGGGCATTGAATCCGCTTTCCTTTTCTCACTATGTCATCTCTTACGTACGTATATATGTATAATAGTGTCTAGAAACACATATATAGTATATATACACATGTGTATATAAAGGATGTGTTTGTTCGAGGGATTGAATTTTGAGTTGAAATTTGAATAGCAAAAATTTTGAATTTGAATAGTTGTATGATATGATATAAATAAGTGTTGGTGTTGATGTGATGTCTTGAATGTAAAATTGATTTTCAGTAGTATAATATAAAAAATGAAAAATAAATATTTGAGTTGATATTTTTTTAAAAAAATGAATAATATATTTAAAATCCAATCTCCAAATAAACACATCCATAGTGTAAAAGAGGATAAGAAGAACACACAAAAGAGAGGCAGCAGATCCCACCCCTATTATTTAAATTTTTAAAAATACATATATTTTTTAATTTTTTAATTTATTGCATATCAAAATTAAAATATTAATATTTATTGTGCATATATATCTAAATTATATACTTATATATTTTAAAATATTTTAATTAAATTTAATTATAATATATTTTTAAAATAATTATATAACAAATACTATAATTATAATTTACTATAAAAATATTTAAATTAATTAAATCTTAAATTATTAAAATTAATATTAATAATTAACTTAATCAATATAATTTATGTTTTCTCTATTACCATTTTTAAATATAAATTAACAAAATATGTTAATTTATATTTTAATTTTAAAAAAGTGTCATTTTTTATATTACCATTTTTAAATAAAAATATGTTAATTAATATTTTAAATTAAAAAAAATGTCCATATTATGAAACAAAGTATATTACCTTATTGTGTCGGAATAAATATTTTATTAATAAGTTATTCAAATTTTATTATATTATTTTATTTATTCATATAGATAGAGATATAATTATAAAATTATTGTATATTCATATAGATAGAGATATAATTATAAAATTATTGTATTTTTATTTACCTATTGTCTTAATATTATTTCTCCTTCTTTCGCCGCATTCATTAAAATCTTCGCTCTTCCTTCCTTAATTTTTATTTATATTATATCAAATAACTATTTAAATTTAAAATTTTAATATTAATATCAAAACTCCAAGCAAACACACCCTATGTGTAAATATTTCTTTTTTTTTAAAAAAAAAAAATTGTATTAAATATATTATTATATTAATTTTATAATATTTTTATAATTTATGAAATTTTGTATTTTACATAATGAGACTAAAATTAAATATGTATTACTTATATATTTTCAGTATGGTAACATATTTTCATATTATTGAATTTTTTATAATATTGCAATTACTATCAAATGTGTTGTGGAGTGGACGTCATGGGTTTAAACTCGATTCACCCTCTATACATACATAATGTGACTTATGAGCTGTGTAAAATTTCTTTAATTTCGAGCACAATAAAATAAAATCAACATGATAGATTGACAAATTTTGATAGTAGTTAGTAATTTTCAAAGTAACTGTACACTTTTTAAAATGACATTTTTCTCATGACTATTTTCATTCCATCATTGTTTACATCATTTTATAATGTTTGAAGATTATTGAAACAGTGATTGATTCACAATATTATTAAATTAAAGGGTTATATGGGCAGTTGCCACTATTATCTCGTCTCGTTTTTCATGAGTTTGACAGATAATCACATATAGACAAAGTGTAAACTATAACAAAGTCTTTTTCATTTTCTTCAAATTTAAATGGATGATTGAAACATATAACTCTATGTTTGGAGATTAACTTCAATGAAGTCTGTTGAAGGTGGCCTCATGTATATGTCACATTGACGACAATTTGTAAATTTCTAACTATAGTTTTTAAAGTTCTGTTTCAATTTTTTTTTTTTTTTTTATGTAATCATAGTAATTTTATATAAAAATGTAGAGTGTGTTTGCCCGTGGGTTTGCGGTTTTGGATTTGGATTTATGAATAGTAAAAAATTGAATTTGAATAATGGTTTGATGTGATATAAATAGATGTTGATATAATATTTTGAATATAAAATAAATTTATATAGTAATATAAAAATATAAATTTTATGTTTTTTAAAGAAATAAAGATTTTGAATAATAAAAATCTGTCTTAAAACCACAAAAAAATAAAACAAAACGGTATTGTTTTCACTCATATCACATGCAAAGCACTATTTAAACAAAAATCCAAAACCAAAATTTAAAATGAAACACCTAAGGGTTTGTTTGGTTATACGTATTTATCAAGTTTATCACGACCTTACCATATATATATATATATATATATATTTCCATCAAAAACCGTCAATCAAGTAAATGAATATAAAGTTTGAACTTGAATTTGAGGTTAAATAATAATTTGATTTATTATTTATATTAAAAAAAAAATTACTTTTATTATAAACTTGAAAATCTGAAATTTCCAAAGATCCATATAGTCCCAGAACCATTCCTTTATATAAACCCTAAAGTACACAAAGAAAGAGAGGAGAAACATAAGACATCCAATAAAAGTGTTAAGACACATGGAGATGTATGCATCGACAGTTCAAAGTTTGGAGGATGTTCGTCGATCTGTAAAATATCACCCAACCATTTGGGGAGACAAGTTTCTATCATATGCTTCAGCTCATGAGGTAATATATTGTGATTTCATTCTGCTCTTACTTTAACAAATTATTATACATATATCTTATTACACATTGAGCAGGAAAGTTCGAGAAGCAACGAAGAGGAAGAGCTTCAGAAACTGAAGGAAGAAGTGAAAAAACTACTTTCTGCAACACCAAATGATTCACTGCATAAACTAGAGCTCATCGATGCAATACAACGCCTGGGAGTGGGCTACCATTTCGAGAAAGAAATCGATGAAACCTTAAAGATTGTCTATGATTCTTATCTACAAGGTCACAAGAAAGATACTAATGATGTTTACGTCGTTGCTCTTTGCTTTCGCTTACTTCGTCAACAAGGACACAATATCTCATCGGGTAAGAATTTAAGTCCTATATATTTCAAGATTATTCTTATACATGATAACAAAGGATGAACTTCAGTCGGCGCGATAACATATATATATATATATATATGTATTTCTTGTAATAGATGTGTTTGATGTATTCTTGAACGAGGAAGGGAAGTTTAAAGATTCATTAGCAGAAAATGTCGAAGGTATTTTAAGTTTGTATGAAGCTGCACAATATGGAATACATGGAGAGGAAATTCTCGACTTAGCAAAAGAGTTTGCATTATCTCATCTTGAGTCGATAGTATCCAAGATTCGCGATACTTCTCTCGCAGCGCGAGTCGAAGAAGCCATAGAAACCCCAATCCACAAGAGTTTGAATCGACTTCACGCTGCGAAATTCATTCGAATGTATCGACAAGATGAATGTCGAAATGAGTTACTTCTTGCATTTGCTAAGTTGGATTTCAATCTTCTCCAAAAGATGCATCAGAAGGAGATAAGTGATCTTACAAGGTTAAGGATTCATAAGTAGTTTCTTGCAATTAATTTTATTGTGAATTAAACAATATTGAGTTACTTATTGAAAGTTATTTTGTGTGTGTAGGTGGTGGAAAGCTTTAGACTTTCGAACTAAATTACCCTTTGCAAGAGATAGGATGGTAGAGTGCTATTTTTGGATATTGGGACTGTATTTTGAACCCCAATTCTATGTTGGGAGGATTATATTGTCCAAAGTGATTATGTTGGCTTCTACCATCGACGATATTTATGATGTCCATGGAACATTCGATGAACTCCAAAAGTTCACCGAAGCAATCACAAGGTAAAATCTAACATACATATTATTATACACATGAGGATGTAATAATTAAGACATTTCGAAACAAAAATGTAGGTGGGATACAACTGCAATGGAGAAACTACCTCCATACATGAAAACATGTTATCAAGCACTTTTAAATGTCTACGAAGAGATCGAAGAATTGGCGAGGGTCGAAGATAGCGCAACATTCACAAACTATGCAAAAGAAGAGGTAATTAAATTGCGAGCATAATAATTACTATAGTTGTTGAGTCTTAATTTAATTTTGCGACATAAAAAAACGCACTTTTGTAGATGAAAAAATTGGTGCAAGCATACTTCAAAGAGGCTGAAAGATTGTTCAATGGCGAAATCCCTACGCTCGAAGAATACATGAAGGTTGGACTTCCATCGTCGGGCTATATGATGGTCGCCGTAACATCATTAATCGGCATGGGAGGTTTAGTTTCGAAAGAAGACTTCGATTGGGTTTCAAGAGAACCATCGATAGTTCGCGCAACATCACTTATTGCTCGATTGATGGATGACATGGCTGGCTATGAGGTAAATTTCAGACATCGATTTAACTTCATCGATGAACACAAAGTGAAATTATGAGTGTGTTTTTGTGCAGTTCGAAAAGAAACTATCGGCAGTAGAGTGTTACATGAACGATAAAAATGCCACAAAAGAGGAAGCATTCGATGAACTTGAGAAACAAGTTAGGGCAGCTTGGAAGGACATAAATCAAGAATGTCTTTATCGGACAGCGGTTTCGTTGCCGGTGCTTACACCCATAGCTAACTCAGCAAGAGTCATTTATCTTATCTACAAGGATGGAGATGGATACACCAATTCGAAAATTAAGATGAAGGAGGCTATAGAATCTGTGCTGCTTGAACCAGTAGTTACCTAAATTGAAATCCAAGTTTTGCAAATTTAATTCTCTAGCTATTTATGTTCAATAAAAATGACTTTTGTCATGTAGGTTTCATTGGTTGTATTTTGATCATATCCCTTCCAAAATATCACCTTTTCCATTGGAAGGGAAAGTCAAATTGTGTTTTCTGTGGTTTTCACCGCAGCTTTTTACTATTCAGATTATTTTCGGTTTAATTTATATCATATCAAACAACCATTCAAATTCAACTTTTTACTATTAAAAAATTCAAACTCAAAATCCAAAACCCACAAACAAACACACCCATAATTGTTTTATAAGATTCATGGGCTTTGTTTAGGTTACAAACTTTTACTCATTTGACAAACTTCCAAAACATACCACATCAATTATACTTTTTATCTCGCAAAACATCAAATAAAATATTAACTTTTTATTTTTTCTAAACTTTTAAAATTTTAAAAGATCAAAACACAATTGATACTTTATACATGACAAAAATAATAGATGATCATGGTACCTATGTGATTTTGATTATTCTTTTTCTTCCTCTAATTCGATATTATTATTCAGAATCTATAATGTCAATTTTACCTCTTGTAATTCTACTATAAAGTTACCGAAATCATTATTCTTTAATATTCCAACAAATAAGGCCAAATGAAAAGCAGCCTCACAAAATTTCAAATTGGGAAATCAATAACAGAAAGAGAACAAAACCCATCAAAATAAATAAATCAAAACATGCAATTCACCGTGAAAATCGGCCAACAATATTCATAACCCACACTGTGCATCCAATCATATATACATATATAGATATATATATATATATATATATAACCATTAAGAACGTATGAACAAGGTTGTTGAAGAAACCAAAGTAGCAAGTAATCAACCAACAAAAAATGGGGATCGTGGACGATGCAAAGAATTTCATAACAGAAAAGGTGTCGAACATGCCGATGCCGGAGGCCAGCATAAAGGACATGGATCTCAAGGGTGTTGGCTTCAATGGAATCACCTACCTCGTCAAGGTCTCGGTCTACAATCCATACGGCGTCTCCATTCCCATCGGCGAAATAACCTACAAATTCAAGAGCGCCGAGCGGGACGTGGCGACAGGGTCGATCCCTGACCCGGGCTCGCTCTCGGCCAAGGCCGACACCGAGCTCGAGGTCACCGTCAAGGTGCCGCATAGCGCCATCGTCAGCTTGGTTCGCGACGTGGCCCCAGATTGGGACATCGATTACGTGCTCGAAATGGGGTTGATCGTCGATCTTCCGGCCATCGGAAATGTCACCATTCCAATGTCGTATCAAGGTGAGTTGAAACTGCCCTCCTTTCTCAAGGGGGATTCGGAGCCGCCATCGGAGTCGGCGGCCGACACCGAGAAGGAGAAGGAGAAGAAGTGACTTGGGGGAGGGAAATTGAGTCTTTGATCTTAAGTTTTAATAATTGTGTATAGTTTTGCATTAGAAGAGAAATTGTAGGATGTATATACATATCATATGCATATATATAGGTTAGTAATATAATTTTATGATTAAAGTAGGATGTAACTTTGCTGAGGTTAACAATGGCAGTGTATTCTTACATAGAATTGAAAATCATGATTGATCAAACACAATCTATCCATCTAAAACACCATCTTTCCCTCAAAGTAAAACTTTTCCTTGCATTATTATTGAATCCAATACTTAAGCACATGTTTTACTTTGATATCGAACATATTACTTGCATTTTAAAACTCATTCATTTCACAATTATCTTTCCAAATAAATTCAAATCCCAAAAGACTTCTAAATTAGAAAATAAATCCAAAAGCAAATCTAAATACACCATTAGTTTGCTTATTGTACAACAGACACTAATTGTTAAAAACTACATGGAAGTCATTAGAGCATTAGAAGTCCCAAAACACAGAGAAGCTTACGGCAATCAACGGCACAGGTTCAACAATTTCTACGAGTCAAGTAAAATATTCTGATTTCATACCAACTTCTGAAATATGAGCAAGAACGGGTAAATACTCAATGAAAAATATAACTCCAAATATGGGCGTCAATCAGACATACATGATTCCAACAAAATTGAAGTATACAATCGAACCATAACATAGTAGTGTAAAATCCCTGAGGTGCAAAATCGGAAAACAGAGCAGCCAAATTAAACTAAAATAACTTACTTTTCTTCTAAGCCTTATCGGCCTTGGCAGCAGTAGCAGCTGCTTGGCCACGAAGACGGCCAGTCCTCCTGGCGGCAATAAGACCAACCTTTTGTCCGGGGGGTGCATCACGGCGCACAGTGCTGGCATGACCAATGTGTTGATGGTTACCACCACCATGAGGATGCTCCACAGGATTCATTGCAACACCACGAACCTTGGGCCAGCTATTTCTCTTAACTCTGAACTTGTGGTAAGCATTGCCTGCCTTCAGCAGTGGCTTCTCAGTTCTTCCTCCTCCAGCAACCTGTCCAACCATAGCTCGACAACCACTGGGAACAATCTTCTTGGATCCAGACGGGAGCTTAATCCTGCAAGGATACAATTAGTTGGCAAGATAACCAAAGACAGATTGTATACCATCAGTCCATACAGTTTATAAACCTTCCTGGGCACAAAAGTCATACTGGCAATTCGGGGAAAAATGCAAACGCAGCTAAAACAAGAATCCAAAGGATTTACTCAAGGTATAAGCTAAAATTATCACAGCTTTGATCGTATATGATGGCCTATAGAAGCGATGAAGATTAATATAATCCAATACTTGAAAAATCCTACCCAAGCCATTATACTAAAGTGCACAACTCAATTTTTTACTTGGAAAAATAAAAAATGGTTTAATCTCTACAATTTCATGAACACACATTCATATGCTTGCAGTCTTGCAGATATTGAAGCCACCATATACTCGATAAGTTAATTTACAAGTCATGTAATAAGTTTCACGATGAGGTTTAATTCGTATAATTTCATAAACCCACATTCATATAGGCTATCCATACCAAGAACAATTAAAGGATAAAATTAACACGCAGTCAGCGATAAATTCAGAGCAAATTAAGAGCCATATCTCGGAAAGACATCTCAATCACCAAAATATCAAAGAATAATGTATTTGTTGAAGAAATTAATCGGCAAAAACGCACACACCTAGTTGTCCCGTTATCAGGGTTGTGAGAAATCACAATAGCATAGTCCCCGGAGGCTCTGGCGAAAACCCCACGGTCACCAACATGATGCTCGACGTTGCAGACGACGGCACCTTCGGGAATAGATCTCAAAGGCAAGACGTTCCCGACAACAAGGTTGGCCTTCTTCCCGCAGTAGACAAACTGCCCCGTGTACATGCCCTCTGCGGCAACGAAAAGCTCCTTCTGGTGCTGAAAGCGGAAGGGATGGCGGAAGGTGACGCGCGCAAGAGGGGCGCCGCGGCCGGGGTCGTGAATAATCTCAGTGACGACACCCTTGAGATAACCATTGCGCTCTCCAAAATCGAGCGATCGGAAGCGAGCAGGACCTTTGCGGTGATGGGTGTGAGATTTGAAGACGGAACCTGCTCCCTTACGCTGTGCCCTGATCACGCGACCCATTGGAGGTAGAGGCGAGGACCACGAAGACGCCGACGAGGAGAACTCAAGAGTATATGTGCCGTGTGCGTTCAGTGGGGATTATTAGGGTTTCCAATTGGCAGAATGGGAAAAGAATAGTAAAAAAGGATCGGCCCATTAAGGTTAAGCGGATCTAACTAATTTTTAGAAAATTTTGTACGGCCCAAATTTAACTAAAGGCCCATTTAAATTAGTTCAAAAAAAAAAAAAAAACCAAAAATAGAAGTAGAAACCCAAATTAAAAGAACAAGTGTTTGATTTTATGTTTAGATAATTTTATTTTTTTAATAAAAACAACCTTTTAAAAAAAAATTATTTGGATATAATTATTCAAAAATATGTTGTTAATATACTTTTATTTTTTTATAAAATATTTATAATTTTATATAAGAACAATAAATTGAAACAATAATATAATCAAATTTATTTTGATGTCAAAACAAAAATACATTAATAGGACAAGTTAAGTAATACAAAATAATAATAATATTGAATAGTCGAAATATGTGTCTTTGAATTCATTATCATCACTCTCCCCATTTCGATTATATTGTCTACTTTCACTAAATCTTAGCACTTCAATTCCAACTTTTATCATCAACACACTCGACAAGGATCAAATTGCTAGCTATTTGGAGATTTTATGGCTTTAGTTCGTAGTAGTGTGTTATTATTGGAACTCTCGTTTGCGGATATATAAATAATGGTTTTGTTTCCCTAACAGTTCAAACTTCTAGGTGAGACGGTCATTCATCATCCCACATAGTACCTATAGATGATCTGGATGGTCCTCCAGCCATGAATTATTACATCGTTTTTGGAGTTTTTATTTGATATAATATTTTGTAAACATATATAAAAATAAATACTGTAGATAAACAACGTCTATAATTCAAAAAATATCTGTGTAAACAGATTGCTAGTATACATGCATATTATATATATGTGTCTATATATTTATGTATAAACATAAACATATATAGCTAGTTAGGGTTAGGGTTTTCATGGCAGACCTGCGAATACATATATATATATATATATATATGTCCAGATACCACTAACCAACACCTGCATCAAATATGCAATCCTTGTCTGTTAGTGTTAGGGAATTAATGTCTCCAACTCCATTTCGAATTTGGATATATATATATATATATATTATATAGGTGAATGGATCATGGAACACAATAATTATGTAAACATTCAACGGGAGAAACGACACATTTCCATGCTTTTGCAGGGCCCCATAAACCCTATTACATGCAGAAGATAGATCCACGCCGTCCACTACACGATGGCTACCCATCATGAATGGTGTGGATTCATCTGGTGTTCTGGTCCCTGGTGCACGCAAGAATTAAACCCTCCCATTTCAGCTACACTTGGATCACGACATATAAATATATATCGATTTCATTTCATTGTTATTCTTTATCTCTGCAGTTTTAAATCAAACCCTTTTTACTGTAATCATTTATTTCTTTTGTCGATCTATATAACTCATGTCTTCTGTAAATTAGGGTTTAGGGTCCAGTTAGAAAATTAAAATCCTGTGTATAATGAGTAGAGAAAGAAACAAAAATAAGATGTAAAATATAATAATAATTAAGAACATATGGATGTAATGTGAGAAGAGAAGAGATACACTTAATGATACCTCAATGCGTCAAAAATTGAAAACATATATCATATCTGCACTATCTAGACAAACCTAGAAGGGTATCCAATATAGCAAAGGTGCACCACACTTTTAGAGGCACTGTTTGTAATGGAAATTGTGATTATGATTATGATGATGAAGATGAAGATTGTTTAACCCAATGAATACAAAAATTGAAACATCAAGTAACAGGGTCAAAGAACAACAAGATAATATACCAGTCTACTATATAAGCTATATATATATATATATATGTATGTATGTTGGATATGCTGTGCATTTTTCTTCAACTTATGCATAAATTTGTTCCCCACATTGCATGGTTCAAACAAGGTTGTGGTGTCGATGACCCCACTAGCTCTTCAATCGCACAACATGAAATGATGTGCGATAAAAGAGTTTATTCTCCACGATCCATGGATCGAACCAATCACAATCTCTCATATAAAACCCTAGCTAGAAATATGGTCTAGATCATTTTAATTTGGGAAAGATTTTGTTTGACTAGGAAGCATGAAACAACATTACAATGCTAATAAAGAGGGAATCCAAAACTTGGGAAGTAATGGAAATCATTAATGCCCCACTAAGGTGCACAAAACTAGAACATTTGTAGGGTTAAATTCTTTATTTCATAGATATATTTTTAGATAAATATATTTGTATATATATATATAGATACTTTTGATCCCTCTTGTCATGTTCATGACTTTATGTTAATGGTCACATCCTCTTCTTGATGCTAGCTCATCATCACACCTATATGTGTTCTTAATAGTCTTTTAATCCTTACCTTTTAAAGTGAGGGACAAACTCATCTTTTTTGGAATTTTCCATGTCAATTGTGGCCTTCTTCAAGGGTCAACTTGCACAAAATGGTCTGAGTCTACTTTTTTCCTCTTTATTACATGATATTAAAGATTAACAAAAAAAAAAAAAAAAAAAGACAATCGAATTTATCCAAAGCTCCTCTATGGTGTTGAAAAGATAAATGATATTTTTCGATGAATGTTCTTAATTACATCTACATATTGAATTGAAGATCATCCCATCAAGTTTGTTTTAGAATATAACCAAATTTCGTTATGTTCTTGATAATTATTATTTGAGTCAATAATGTACGTTAACGTTGTGCCCTTTTTAAAGGGATATCGATGGTAGTGTATGATTCAATTCTCGATCTTACCCTTTGTGTCAACTTAAAATTTTACGCCATTGAATTGAATATAAAGAGCTTTTTCTTAAGGTACAAAGGATGATAGAGATCATAAGCCTCATTTCACCACACACATCAAACTAAAGGCAGTGACCAATATTACAAAGGCAAGGAAAACACCGACTATTTAGATTTTTTTTTTTTTTTTTAAAGGCAAATAGAAATAGAAATAGAACCAAGTCAGATGAGATTAACATGCCAAGATTTTACATGAAAAACCTTCACCATAAAAGATATAAATCACGATCTCTAGAAAAATACAAAAAACATAACCCAAAGATAATTTTATCATCAATAAAAAACTCAACGTAACGTAGTTGTTTTCCCTCAAATCAACTAACACAGAAACCCTCAATATACTCACAACTAGCAAACTCAATAAAAGAAAATAAAATTATCAAGAACACTTCAATTAATTAATAATACCAAAATACCATATCAAATTATCAATTGTTTGATGAGAATTCAAGTGATCGAGATCTCCTAAATAAAACTCTATAACCTAATTTATTTTTATAGACTTATAAAGAAAAATTTATTGTTAAGCCTCCTAGACATAAGTAGAGTAGTAAACCTATCCAACACAAACAAGAAAACCGCTAAAATAAATTTAAATAAAAGAGAAGAATATATCCTCAAATTAATTAATTAAAATAATCTTGGTTTGATTCCTTTCCTATTTGGGAATTTTGTTGACCTTATTTGTGTGTAGGATGGTAGGTAAGAATGTAGGCACAACATTCTTATGTACTAAACAATTTTTTAGTATAGCAAAGTCTCCAATTTAGACGAATATGTTGCAAATATATATATATATATATATATATGTCTTTAATTATTTAATTATGAGACAAACTGACAGGCATCATTGTCACTCTTACAGGTCCCAATTTTCAAAATTTTAATGATAATATTAAAAGCCACATCTCCAGCAGCAAAGTCGTTTTAGTGAATGCTGTCGGGTTAATGCTGAATTTCTAGTTGTGAACAACTTACCCACTTCTCGACACAAGCTCGTATATATATAAATATATTTTTATGTCATGTAATTATAGTATATTAGACTTGTATGTTTATTTAGGAAATTTATTTGCATTTAGCTATACACATGTGTCATTCTTCATATATGATATTCAAGCCCATATTCACTCCTATAAAATCATTATGATCCTATTCTATTTTTTCATATGTTAGACAAGTCATTTGTTGTTACATGTATCACTATATGTTCTACTCTTACACTACAAGAAAAAATCATTTTTGTAACAAAACTTTTTTGTCTCTAAATCTAGTTTTTCCGTTACTAATGACATTAGAGACGGAATTAGAAACGGAATTACGTTAGCTACGTGAACTTTAGGGATGGAATTCCGTTACAAATATATTATTTTTTTGTAGTGTTAATTGGTCATTCGATCATCAAACCAATCTTGCAATTAATACAATTTTTGATTAATTCTACACCTAATTCTTGATCCGATCTTACTATGTAGATGGTCTTGTACCTTAAATCTTCCATGTCTAACTCGATAAAGAGTTATGTATTCGACTATCTTTTATCCATTTCTGACTCTAATCACATCGAGAGCTATGTATTTTAATTTTATGATCATTAGCGCGGCTAACTAGCCATTGCAAAATGTTTTACGCAATTGTTTTTTATGACTCAATTTTCACTTGATAAATAACCTATTCATATGTATACATATGAAGAATGGTGATGGATATTGCTTCGCAAAAATTGATTTAAAACAATAAAATTACTTCAAAATAAGTGATGCGTAGTTATGGAATATATTCTTTCACGTATAAAAATGAGATATATGGAGTTGAATATTATTGTTCCATTTGAGGCCATATATGTTTCTTTCTAATATTTTGTGCATGAGATAATCGAATATACATATATATTATATTTGTATGTATGTGTATGTATATATATCCACTGGATCAACCAACAGAAGCATGAACAGTAAAAGGATAATAAAGACAAGGATAAAATTCCCCAAAATCAGCCAAACACTTCACAAGAAATATATTCCACTAATAAACATATGTGTGTGTATGATCGAAATTCTCCATCACTGAAAAAAATAAATAAATAAATAAGAAAGTAATCAGTCAAAGAAAAAAAAAAAAAAAAAAAACCAAAGTTTAATTTGGAGGACAATATTGTCCTCCCACACT